TTTTTTTTTTTTTTTTAGTAATTTAATATTTGTACTTTTCTCTCTTTTTATATATATTTTGTGTAACTTTAAAATCACGCGTGTAAATTTAATTTTTTTGCAATGATTAATAGAGATTTGATCAAAATAAATAGAGAATTCAATTGAAAAGTGCATCTGCGAATTGGACGATTTATATGTCAGGCTATTTTATCATTTGATTGTATGATTAATATGGTTTTCTTCTTGTTACAGGTGATCATCGTTGGACTTATCATCAAAACTTCTGGATTCTTTTTTATTTTAGTGTCTTAAATTGCTTTATTTTAAAATATAAATATAAATGCATTTCTGAAGGCACACACACATTTCTATACACTAAAAATTAAATATATTTATTTAAAATTTTATCAGAATAGGATTGTACTATCATATTCTATGATAGAATATATCATGTACTATCAAATACAGTATTCTTTAACAGTATTTTACTGTCATCGCGGTAAATATCTACTAACATCGACTGGTGGTTCCAGTAGTTACTAAGGTGAATCTGGATAGATAAAAAAGGGGACTTGTGAGCTTCTATGCATTTCTGTATTCTTTGGTATAATTGAATTAAATCCATATAAGAAATAATTTGATTTGCCTTAAACTGTCTATTCTTAATTACTTTTTTAATCGAATCTTGAGAGGTAATCGATTGAAACCGAAAGTAGAGGATCAACTCGAAATATCGATTTTTGTATTTATTGAATTGGTATCAACATCAGTTCTATGTATGCTATGTGTTTATGTGTAATTTGATTAAAATTAAGTAGATGCATATTTTTCATGTTATAGTGGAACAGAGAATTTTATTGTTTTAATATAAATTATAACAACAATATAATATATGAATAATGTATCAAACAGAAGATAAATTCTTCATTCTGCATAAAGCTTGTCTTAAAATCTCAGCAAATTTTTTTGTATCTGTTTCCTTACAAGAATTAAAAGAAGAGCAAGCAAAGAGAATATCATCTGATCTAGGATTATAACAACAACCATAACCGTCCGGTACGACAGGACCATAACACATAAATGATGATGATTTATAAGGAACCTGTTAAGCAATAGATTAAAAAAAACATTATTTATACAAAAATATAGATATCAAGTCAAATAATTAAATTTATTTCTTACTTGACTTGATGTTAAATTAAAATATGTGCTTCTAATATATGCAATATCTTTATACAATTCTGGAAGTTCCAACGATTCGGTAAGAGCTATCATTTTTAAACCATACAAATGCCTATCCACTCCTTGTCCTAATGTAGCCTAAAAAGAAAAAAAGAACTAGTATCTTTAACCCTTTCATTTCATACGACTACTATGCGATATTAATAATGACCTCAGATACTAATTTTTTATGTGCATCTATAGCTTTAAGCATCATTTCTTTCAATTGCTTTTCATCTGCACATTTATTATTATTAAAAGCTTTTGCAAATGATACAGATTCAGTGCTCGTCGATCTGATACATTCCGTTCTAGCATTTTGGAATCTTCTTAATCCAGCACTTTCATAATGAGCTGGTGGCTTATTGTGAAGTTTATAATAAGTAACTTGCATTGCGATTTGTATGAAACTATCTGGACTTAATTTACATTTCTTTATCTCATTTTTCCCAAATTCATTAAATGTAAAGCACTCCAAGTCAATATCTTTTGATAAACTGTAAATAAAAATATTTAAATATGTTATTAAATTAAAGATAACGTTTCATATGTAAAAAATGTGACATACTTATCTACAACACAAGTAGCGTTTTTAATAGCGCAATCTATTGCATCATTAGTTTCAAATTTTAAACATTCTGCCCTTGGGCATGCATAGACGCTCTTACATCTTGCGTCATTTAATTTGGATGTGCTAAATACAAGATAATAAATATCTATTATCAAAAACATATTTCATATTGAGGTGATTCGTACAAATTTGCTTTTACGTTATTATAATATTCGTTGTATCATATTTACATATATTTAACAATATGATCATGTAATACAGCAACAGGGACACCTTCGCATGGACTATGTTCGTATTCTAATCCAATGAAACCATCAGGAGAAATTATAAGCTGTTAAAAATAATTTTGGCAAATTAGTTCTATCGAAAACAACTATAATTGCTTATGTATCTTAAATTGTCATAATAATTGATATTTAGATTTTGTAAATGTTTAACGTTACCTGTACAGTCTTATCGTGCCATCTGTTCCCTGCATTTAAATCACTGTTATAACCAGTTAAGGATTGTAGAGCTCTAACGGAAGCATTATTTTTGTCTTGATAAGCTTTTTTAGGTATTTCTTTATCCAGACATAATATGAACATCGATTGCTCAATTTCCTTGATTATTTTTTCATTATTTCCTTTTTCTAAAAATGAAAAGATGTTTATAGACAATACATGTGCGTATTCAAAAATTGTACTTAAAAAAGATGCAAACAAATTCATATCATAAGATTTGAAAGACAAATATAAAATAATAATAAACTAAAAGTACGTAAATACCCTTAAGTAAACAGTGATTTTCTGCCCAAGTATCCCTATCCTCGCCTGTTAAAATTCCTACAGGTTTCCCTTTTATCTGAGAACGACTGACAATATCTTTGATCGCTCCACCAATTTCATTTTCATTTAAAGTACAAGAATTTTTAATAACATCAAGTTTAAAAAACTATAAAAATAAACAAGCAAATACCTAATGGTAATATTTTAAAAAATATTCTATAAAATATAAATATAATAAAAATGTAACTTACATTATTATTACTTATTATTATAATATGTTTTGTGTCATCAGTGTGTATTAGTTGATCACATTTTGGAGCAGGTCGACGATGCGTTCCTAAGATCATTCCATATTGTTGCATATCTAGTGGTTCGTTGCGAATCATTTCTTGTTTCATTTTTCCACTAAAAATAACGATATAATCTCTCTTGGATTAGTTTTATATATTTACTTTTTATAATTCTATAAAGTAATTATTATATAGAATTTACCTTTTTACCATATCGTTATAATCACAAATCGCTTTAATAAGATGTGCAGCAGTTATGTACATGTCTTCTTCACGATTAAATTTTAAAGGTGGACCAACAGCACCAGGACTAGAATTAACGATAACAGGGGCTCTATAACTTAAATATGCTGTATTTAACCACCAAGTACTCATCTGCAGATAAATAAAAAAATCTTAAGAATTATTAGATTATTTTTTGAACATAGAAGAAAATAAAATCTTTACTTCGTACCCAATTATCGGTACTGTCATATCTTTTCAATAATTTTTTATGTAATAAAGATCCGCAACCATTTTCTGAAATAAATTCCTCGACAATTCTTTTAGTATTACAGTATTCATTTTCATTCAATAATGGTTCTACAGATCTAAAATAATAATTACATTATTTGATTTTAAATATTGTCTTGATATATCTTTATACATTCATACATTAGCTACATTTGTAAAGAAAATTTATAAAAAATAACATTGAATATCGCAAGCTTACTTTAAATATCGTTCCGCAGTTATCTTTAAATCTGGGACTGGTTGTTTAGGAAGTTCTTGTTTATTTAACTTTAATGTTGTTATTTGTGCACGAGACATCTTGGAAATAGTATTACAAATTCTGCTGTACACCTATAATATTGAAATTAAAATTATTAATGTAATTCAAATATCGTATTATCAAGATAAATACTTACGAACGAAAAAGAAATTATCTTCTGCATTTCTGATTTTATAATATTCTATTTTGTAAAAATTAACAAGAACAATTCTAAAATTTAAGATTAATTATTAACACAAATTATATTTATATATAAAAAATAAATCATTTTTTTTGGATATTTAAAAAAGTATAAGTATAAAAACTTGTTTATAATTAATTATTATTTCTCTTTCTTATTGTTATAACCTGTTATAGTAATTAAATGTCAAAAATTAAAGATCTTCATAAATAAAGTTTATACGTAACAGTATTCAAAAATCTATCAGGGAAACCACACATACAAATTTCAATTGTACAGAACATTTAAAAAAAGGGTAGGAAATTTAACAACAAAAAACAAGAAAAACAAAAAATAATTATTATAAATGTTAGAGAATTTTCTATGCATAAAAGTAAATATACATTTTTGCATACCTGATAAGGATGATATCAAATATGATATTATAAACATCTATCATGATTAAAGTACAAAGGTTAAACATTTATGCATGACATGAGTGATCAAGAAATCAAATTGTAATTGGCTTGGTCTAAAATGCATCAACCAATTAGAATTCAGATTTTCACGTTGTTGCATAGGCGTTTAATTTAGTGTCTCTAAAACGAAGCTCTATACAAAGAGGACGATCGAGATAGGCGTTCTCATTGAATTTGTGACGTTGAAAATGAGGAAACATCGGGTACGATAATTCTCCACGAGGGTGGCGGTGGTGTTCGAGGATTCAGATTTTAATACGTGTGTTGTTGTGTGTGGTACAACTACATATATTTAAAAAATCAGACCATGCGAATCGATGCGCTCTCTAGTGGCAATAGAAATTATCTTCTCATTGTGAATATTGTAGCCACATTTATAACACTGCGATGTATATAGGCTCCATGGTCTCTAACTAATAAAAAGCTAACATGGTGTCTTTTTGTAGTACACGTTAAAGTTTGGCCTATAAATATCTTGTTGAATTAATAAAAGAAAAGTGTAGTGTATCAATATTAAAATGATGAGGAAATCACCATTAAGTATGCCGGGCGGTAGTAGAAGACAGAATAATCATCAGTGTAAATCTTATGGTGCTATGGGAAAGACTAATTGTGTAAATGTTGATCTTAAACGCGAGTATTATTCTTACAATGGTGGAGGGGTGTATCAAGGTGATAACGGCTTTATTCCCTTAAATAGTAGTACGCCGAATGAAAAGAAACAATACAATAATAATAGAAATATTTGTAAGTTCCGTCGAAATTATTCGAATTTGGGTCGTTGGCTTTCTGATGATAAACGTAACATCTTTTCGTGCACAGACCCGTATTTCAAGTATAATTCTCCTCATAAGCATCCTGGTTTGCTATATCAAGCACAAAATAAGGTATGTTAATGTTATATAAATATATATATATATATATATATAATATTATATATAATATCTTTTATAATTTTTGATTTCTTCTTTTGATATCTTTGATTTCTCTAAAATTCGAATTTATTCTCCTACATTGTACTTTGCGTTACAGAATATGAACAACAAACAATTGCATATGTCCAAATATATCGATATGAAGTCTATATTAGAAGATCCGTGGGCTGAGTTAAAGAAAAAATTAGATAACTCTACTACGTCTAACGATGTAAATGCTTCCGATGGATGTTCCAGTATTTCTAATATCAAAGATAGTGATAACATGTCTTTTTGCGATACAGACTTTCAAAACAATTTGCATAATGAACAATCCCAATGTCAATCGATAGATGCACGTTTAGAAATTAGCGATAATGCTTCAAAGCCTATCGTTGAAAATTTATTGGACAATAAATTTGGTGACACCGAATTGAATTTGATATCAAATAATGTATTTTCGTGCAATGCTACCAACGATAATAATCATGTAGCAAATAAAGATGACAAACAAGACATATAGCAATCGATGACAGTTGCACATGTAAATCATATAAAATAAAAAAAGAGTAACATTTCTTGAATAACAATTCATAGATATTATAATACAGTCTTTGATTGTATCTATGTACATTCTATTAATGTATATAAAATTTTGCACGCACGATATACAATGTAAGATATAAATATAAATATATATATATATATATATTAATAAGATTAGAAAGATAAGTATATATTAATATATATAAACACATGAATAGTGTAAATAGAGTTATTTTTCATGTGTAGATCTTTTTAGACTTTAGTTTTTAAAATTTTGACCGATGTAAACTGAATATGTACAAGAAGTGCAGTATCAAATTTTCTCTCACATTAAACTTTCGTAAGAAGGCTGTGAACAAATCTGTTATATAAAATGAAAATGATTTATATGTGCAATTTTAAAGTACACAAAAAATAAAATGTGTTTAAATTATATAATTAGGTAAACATCGAACACCAACTTCTTGTCCATAAATTAAGTAATTAAGATATCGTATAAACTTGAATAGTCGGTGGGGTGAATTATAAAAAGTAAATTCTTTTTTTATTCTTAATATATATGAAAGAAATTTTTAAAGATTTATTTAGTAAGTATAACTACTTAACAGAAATATCAATGTATTAACCTTTTCTTTCTGACACAGATGATCATGTGTATATATCCTTTATCCGGTAATGTTGACCGTGATCATAGTTCACTGCTTAGTACATACATTTACGCGAAATTAACAGATATACCAATAGCCAATTTCTGCAGAACTTCCTAATTCTAATTAAATAATATTTTTTATGAATGTAACGCTACAATCCATTTTTGATCAATATATGAAATTACGATAATCATTACTGATGGTACTAATGGTACTGCTCAATATCAATATCCATTACAAGGATGCTGGTGGTAGTTGGAATGAAAGGGTTAAAGAAATTTTATAGCGACGTGTCATATCTATATTTTAACTTAAACTAGATTTACTTTATATTAGCTTTTAATAATATATATGCTTTCCTTTGAATAATCATTTCCTATATTTAAACGATAAATATAATTTGAATAGACTTTGCTTTTGATATATTTCAAGATGTAAGACTTATCGTGTTTCTGTATCTCCGATAGAGAAATCTAGTTTACTTATATCGATAGCAATATTTAAAAAAAAATGAGTTTTAATGTTGTAAAACTGCAAAGTATGTGGTTTTATAAATATATTTATGTGTAATATTATCTTGAATATCTATACTCACAGCAATACTCGTTTTTACATATTTGATCTCTGTATTATATAAATTTGCACGCGTATATGCATTTCTTATCAGATATAGAAATTGTAAAAAGATCCAATCAGAAAAGTTCTAATGCAATATTATACTAATAAAAAATAGAAACTAAATCATATTAAATATAAACATATATATATTAATATGATAAGAAGATACACTTTGTCCAGATTTATATGATACTTTACAAAGAATGGTATGCGAAATGAGATAAAGTAAATTATGCATTGTCGGTTATGTATTACAAGTGACGTGTTTTATCTCAACGTGCTAATTCAATGTATGTACAAAATCATGAACCGGTACAAACTAAACAATTAACTAAGAGAATTTCGATTAGTCTATATTAAATTAATATAATCTCTAACAATAATCGCTATTATAAAAAGCATCAATGATCTACTAATTAATGTATACCTAATGTTCTAAACAAAACAAAACAAAAATATGAAAAATATGAAACAAAACAAACTAATGTCCCATCATTTCATTTCATTTTATTATTTTAGCGATCATTCTTAATGGAATAATGATGAGCACATATGCCATTAAATCGGATTCAATAAAATTTATACAGTGATTGTACTTACCATTAGTATCACAATTAATTAGTATGCATCGAGGTAACATAAATGAAAAACTCATAAGTAATTGTAATAACTAATAATTAACAATCGATTGAATTGACTATATCATATAGCATCAATATATTTTATAGATCAGTATTGTTATAATAATTCTAAATTAGTGACACTTATTTATATACAGGAGAGAAAAAATAATATAAAATTAGGTATTATTATTATTATTCTTCTTCTTCTTCTTATTATTATTATTTTCTCTTGTTTGGTTTTTTTTTTGTAAAATCACTCTTAAATCAACTGTCTTAAGATTGCCTTTCCATATAAGAGAATAAGAATTCATCGTTACTTATTTTGGTCTCATTGCTTAAAGCTATAATTCTGTTTTCCATTATCTTCTTCTCATATTTTTCTTTTTTCTTTTTAACGATCCTAATCCATGGTCGGTAAATATACATATTGTATTGAGAGGAATACTTTTCGTAGTGTTTGTTTGTAACAAACTTTATGTAAGATGATGCAAATGCCAATAATCTTTCATGAAACAACTTATTGATCATCTTTATCTTCGTAAATGACTATAATTTCGTTGCACAAAAATCCTCTATTGACATTATTACATGCATATTCGCATACCGTCCATATGTTTCAAAGAATAACATAATAATAATAAATGAAGTAACAATCAACTTTCGATAATAACATTTTTGATTTTTGATAATTTTTCTAAAACTTATAGAATAAAATTGATATTTCATTATCTTTACTCAAACAAAATGAAAAGAACTTTTCAAATAAGTATAGAAAAAAAAAAATTGAAAACGCGTTTCTCTCAATGAAAATATATTATAAATAATATTAAAATAAAAAAAAGAAAAAGATCCTTCGCTCGATATCGTTGCATTATAAACAATGCACATACGCATACATTCATACACATGCACACAGCAGATACATACATACGTACACACAATTACACAATTTAAGTTTAATCCTTTCGTTACTAACGACCCATATAGTGGTCGTACATCATGCGATGATACGTGTGTACGAAAAAATGTATGGTGAACGTTACTCTTAACGAAAGGGTTAAATGTATTCATAAACAATTATTAGCAGCTAAGCGCGCTTTTAAATTACATCTAACAATAAGGCGGCAACGCACCGCTGGTTCTGGATGTGTACATACATTTCGTTTACATACTTATATTTATATATATATATATATACACAGGATAATTCGTCAAAAGTTACATAAAAATGATATACTTGATGTTTTGACATTAAACATTGATTTCAAACGAGTTGTATTTACGCGCCAATCGAACATAACCTATCATCGATCGATATCGATTATCTAAGATCTTATTGGTGGGCAATGTGAGGGGTGGGGGATATAAATTTACTTTACTATTAAATGAAATTGTATGAATGAAGTTATCAATGAATCTCAACGTAACCTTCCGATCAGCTGGGAATACGATCAATGATATCGATTATCGAAGATTGCATATGGATATATATGTGTTATTTTTAATCGAAACTTTTTTTTCGAGTAATTTTGTTATCAATGAGAAACGTAATGAATGAACGAGAAGTTGTCAGTGGTTCTCAACTTCTTTTTAATACAATATTCGTGACACATTTAATTAAATATAATAATAATAATAATAATAATTATTCGTAAACCATTAACGAATTATCCTGTACATTTATTAAAGGAAGTTTTATGAGGTAACTGTGTTATTTAAGGAGAGAAATAGATAAAAGGATGATAGAAGAAAATATTCTAATTTGGTCGTTGACAATTAATTACACCGATGGTTCAAAAGAACGTCCGAGTCGTCTTAAAACTATCTATCTATTTATCTATCTATCTAACCATCTATCCATCTATTTTATAATGGATCAATGAGCGAAATAACGAGAATACCGTGTACGAGAAGTCTCGATGGTTCGAGTTAAGGTTATACTATCGATTTACCTTTATAAATGCTATGCAATGTCGCACTGAAGAGACACGTGAAATACAATATATACGTGAAATAGGATATGATATCTGATATACTAGCTAGAGCAACAACGAAAACATGTCAGAATAAATCACGCGTTGAATACTACTGTCTTTGCTTTTTCTCATCAATTTGTCCGTTTGATTAAATAAAATCTTAGGAAAATTGAATGATTATTATTATTATTATTATTACAATTGATTATTCTCGCTAGTGTATCGATGAAAAAGATCCTTAAAAAAGGGGACCTATTACTTCTTTAATATTTTTTTCTTTATGTTTATTTGCTTTCGTTTGTTCTTCTTCTTTTTTTACCTTTTTTTTTTTTTAAATTACAATTAAAGTATCGATGTTTTAGTAATGGACGTTCAACCGTTTTCTTCATTGGTCCCCGCGGTAATAGTATAATCACGTATTTATCTAAATTTGTTCAAATTTAAAACTAATTCAGATCTAATAAATGATCTTGTTTTTAATTAATCGAATAAAGGATAGACAAATTTTGAAGAAACTTTTTTAAATCTTTTCTCGAGATAAAGCATTGGAGAATGTTCTACGACTATTTTTCTTATTTCAATGTTTCATTTACTAATGTACATATATATATACGTAATCTAACGATATTATATAGAAATTGTTACCTACAATAATCCTAATTCTACGTTTCTATACAAAGGATATGGACGTAATTGACTCGTTTAAACGATGAAACACACTTACGCGAATATATTTTTGTTTTTATATAAAGAAATCGATACGCAAGAGTATTTAATTAATTACATATTTTAATTCTTTCTCCGTTTCTTTTTTTTTTTTTTTTTTTCTTTTAATCCTTTCTCACGTATATATAAATAATTGTTTTGGACAGACAATTATGATCACAATCCATCCTTCGTTAGGAAAGTTTCTACAAAAT